GAAATTGGCAGAAGATATGTTCGAAAGAAGACCAGTGAGCAAACGAAAAATCACACCGGTATTACCAACGAAGATGAGGGTGACGGTGCGAGAATGTATGCGACAGGCACTAAAATGTGCCCTGTAAGCAGTTTCGAGAAATACATAGCCAAACGCAATCCTGACTGCGATGCTTTATTGCAGTATTCCTGTGGCTCTTATTTAGAATCTGATGATTGCTGGTTCGAGAGAAAACCTCTGGGAAAGAATTCCATTGGCCAATTTATGGTGAAACTCTCAAAAGAGGCAGAACTTTCTGACACCTACACAAACCACTGTGTGCGCGCAACGACAATAACTGTCCTGAATGATGTCGGTTTCAAAGACAGGGATATTGTTTCTGTGTCTGGGCATCGGAACGAGAAATCACTTGCAAGCTATGTTGCTGACACAAGAGTGGACACCAAGCGCAACATGTCGGATGCTTTGAGCACTATCACCAACAACCTGGATGCTGTTGTTCCAGCGAAGCCGACTTCTACCTGTAGTCATGCACCAGTGAATCCATGTGCCGGGCCATCCGTCATTCAGGATGAGTCATGTATAAACTTTTTGGACTACAAGCTGCACACCCAGAACCAGCAAATCCAAAATTCAATGAGTGCTCCATACTTCAATTTCAATAACTGCGTTGTCAATATGTACAACAAGTGACTGTTCTAAATAACGTATTGATGTTGACGCTTTCAATGTTTATTCCAATGTTTATTCTTTATTCCAATGTTTTCCAATACTTTTATTCCAATACTTTTATTCCAATGTTTATTCCAGTTGCAATGTGTTACGTTAGTGTTTTAATAAAAATTGAAATTGTTCGTTTAAACTTTGTCTTATTCACTTCATATTTGCCGAGTAGATTGCAAAGTCACGTCATGCACTAAAAACATTAATGCCTGCTGTTGGCGGCACTATGCTCTCATAGTGCCCCCAACAGCAGGCATTAATATATAAATATTGTAATTCCCAAATCAAGATTATTGCTTTTCATTGGTGGGCCTATCTTGGCTTAGTAATTTTATACTTTGCACCCAAAAATTTCTTATTTCTTTCCATTGCTTCACTGGCTGTGACTCTGTCAGTAGTTTCCATGGTAAATCCAAAGCAAAGGCATACAAGTTAATGGTAGAAAGTGCCGAGTTTAAGGCTACATTCCAACAGTTAGGGAACTCATTCACAGTAAACGAAGATAATTTTTGTGGACTCGAGAGATTCGTTTGTCAGTTATATGGGCAAAGATGCGACATTGTTAATAAGGCACGCCAAAACATGTTCCTCATGTTGATCAAGTCAGAAGCTCGTCTTCCACCAACACAGGACGCACTGAGACAGCATATCAAGAGAGCCAATTACCAGGCTGCTGTACATCGGCTTTGTCTGGAGCAGACCCCCGACATTCCAAGCCACATGAGCATTGTTGGAAAGTAGAAGACGGAGGACTAAATGTTGTCTGGGGTGAACAACCCCCAGCCCCAAGCAGTTTGCTTGAACTGACTTACTGCACTTGCAAAAAGACAAACTGTCAGATGCCAGCTGGTAAAAACAAGGGAAGATGTTCTTGCAGGCAGCATAATGTACCATGTACTGATCTGTGCAGGTGCACTGATTGCCAAAATCCGATGGCTGGAGAATCTTTAGATGAAGACTCAGACACAGAAGATGAAGATGTGTAGTGTTCACATTGTTGACACTTTACCTTCAGTTAGCTACTCTGTTATCACACAGACGTTTCTAGTTCTCGATGAGAGGTTCACAAAGAAACATGTTTATTGACCTCTAGATTGGACTGAGACTTTGTGAATAGTTTAGTAGGCTGTATTTCCATCAGTTACCAGTCTGATTATTATCTGTCAGGGGCGGATTCAGGAATTTAGGAAGGATGGGGTGCAACCTTTGTAAAAAGGGACTAAAAAGGCTTCTTGTAGTGCCCATTGTATTCGCCCCCACTTGCAGAAAATTAGAAAATTAAAGTGCTTAGATGCGTTTTCCTGGCATCTGGGAATGATACCATGTATTTCCATGGTTCAAAATAATTATGTTTTTTACCAAAACGTTTTGTGTTGCCAACATTTTATTTGTGATGTGATGACAAAAGTGGAATACAAATTTACTCAAAAACCACACTGTTTGCGAACATTCTTCTCTTATGCAAACGGATAAATCTATCGCAAACGTCCTTCGTTGGAAGAGACAGGCTGAGGCTGTGGTGCAAGCTCATCAAGGAACAGGATGCCCACCTCTCCTGGCCCATTGTTGTACAGAGGAATGTTTTTATCCGCCAAAGGCAGGAGAATGACCGCTCAGTCTCGCAACTACCCACTGGCAATATGCACCCGAGATGAAGTAAAACCCTAATGTTAGGGAACTCATCAGAGTCCGTCACTTTAAAACAGTCCAAGAAGGTTCCTGGTTTATCTTGTTTCTGTGTCCAGAACGATATCCAGTCTTTCAACTCATTGTTCAACGATGTGGGGAAAGGAAGATCATCCTTCCACATGAACAATTATTCTGCCAGGGCCGGGATGTCTGTGACTTTGCAGCTAGCAGAGGGTATCAAATTGAACAGAGCAGTCCCAGCTCGGTTTTTAACCGTAAAGCGGGTTTACATTTCCTGTGACAGATGATCAAGGAATGAAATCGCAAGATTTAACAGATAATAATCAAATGGATTATCTGCAGAAATGTTTTCTCTGTGCGCTTGTCTTTGCAATTCTTGGCATCTTCACCTCCCCACCAACACTTGCTACAAGACTTTCAGCCATGTCATACCAGTCACGAAATTACTTCTCAACTTCATGTCTCATCTGGGAAATCACAAATACCTTTTCGTCTATTGATGCGTAGGCCTCCATGACATCTAGACCATTTGTCTGAAGTTTACCTTTGAGCGGATGCAACAAATTCTTGGTGACAATAAAAACCACAAATTTTGTTTACTCTTTAAATTCATTAATTTCACATATATATGGGGTTTCGGTCCATAAGTTATTAAAGGACAATTGAAGTCAAATTTTATAACTTCTGTAACGTTTTTATACATTCAATAACGGATTCCATTTCAAATCCGGCGTACAACACCGCATACAACAAACATGTAGCCTGTAAATGTACTTCTATTCATGTACATACATATTACCTGTGTAGATAATGCATTCACGGTATATGTACATGACTTGCGTAGAGATGTTTGTACATGTACAGATACATGTGATTCTGACCGAGAGTGATAAGCCCGGTGATCAGTGTACTCGCATGACTTACCTGGTCTAGCGTTGAACAGGTCTACAATAACCCTGGTCTTCTCATTCTCATGGCAGCATATACATTCAGGTGCCGTACTCATTAATTCACAAACACTACAAGAAAACCAATATTTGTCTACAGTCCTATCTGGTACCGAAGCTTCTATTCCGCCATGTTGTGACTGTTCTGATTCTTGAGCAGTTTGTGCCGACTCTTCGCATTGTTTTTTCAGACAATTCTCCTCAATTTCTTCTTGTGTATATTCAGGCTCAAACCTATATCCAACTGGTAAATCACTTTAAATATCATCATCATCTGAGTAATCACTAGAATCATTGAAATTATCGCTTTCTGTCTCCATCTTATACACCACACGCACTATGTTTACATAATGGCGTGTTTCAACATGGGGCTGTGACGTCACATGACCTAGATTCATATTCATGTTTCTTACTGCGGATTTGAACTGAGAGCGCCGGATTTGAAATGGAATACATTATTGAATGTATTTCTATGTATAAAAACGTTATAGAAGTTGTAAAATTTGACTTCAATTGTCATTTAATGTGAGCTTTTGGCGTAGCTGATTGAAATGCGTGCATTTGGCAATATAATGTAACTCATCCAGTGCAGAGTGCATCTATACAGGCAACCGTACAGTGGCGCCATGCTGCATGGCACCGCCACTGTATTGCTAACATCATTTTAAGAAAGGCAGCGGTTAGTTTTGGACCTAGACTTTCCGTTTTGGGACTCCTGGGCCCGACCAATATATATATTTTAAGAAAAACGAGGGCTTGATCGGGTCCGACTGAGTGAAATACTTGTCAGATACAGGCCGAGTGGCAAAACATACCGTTTTTTTAATAAGGCAACTTTTGCAAAAATGGCACTTTGCGTGAGAAGGGGGGGGGGAACCACTGGATCAGCCCCTGATCTGTGTATATAGGCTAATGTGTATCAATAATTGTAAACTGTTTAATTTGATGTTTCTACTGTAAACCTGAAGTGTGCTGACTATACTGTAGTAGTCGCTGGGTAATTCTGCTGCCAGACAACTGTGCGCTGTAGCTTGTGTGCTATGTGCGCCGTGTAATTGCTTGACTAAACTTACGAATACGATAATAAAATGAGAATAGAATGATGTCGTTTCACTGTATATTTCATACTCACAAAACACACACACACTACACACTACACATAGAATCTAGCAACCGAAGCGTGTAAACATCAGAACCTAAGAACCCCGTGTCTCGCGTGCGGGCTCTTTTATACCCCGATCTTGCAAGATGAGTCGCGAATTCCTTACCAAATATGCTTCCTACCACTCACTGCCGGCTACAAGGAAGGCATAGGTCCCCTTATTAGGGCCTACGGACGGTTGAAATGGGATACCGGTATGAATTGACCACTGGCGAGTCAGGGTTGGAGATGTGTTGCGCTCTTCGGGAAGTTAAGATTAGAGGTGATATCGATAGCCTTAGCCAGGTAAGGTGTGGGGTGGATCGCTCGTGAACTAAATCTGCATGTAACTAACCGCACACCGGGTGGCTATTTGTAGCAGTGTATGTGTCCAGTGGTCTAAGATAGATCGGTGCTTCCAGCCTGTCGGTATGGTGTAAAATTAGCTTGTGTGGACTGATGCTAACTGTGGTTACTGACCTCAGCGTTGCTACAATACATTTTTTAAACAAATTATTTGTCAAAATGCAATATTTTTATAACTATCTGTAATGCACACAAATGTATGGAAACAATAAATGGACATGCTAAGGCTGAAGTGTTCAGGAAGCCATGGTGCTCAAGCAAATGTCTGTAATAAAGGCATGACATTTTGTATGTAAATCTATATTTGTTTGAACATTTAACAATTACTTTGAAAATACAAAATTTAAATGAAAATATGTGTGTATGTGTGTGCGTGCGTGCGTGCGTGCGTGCGCGTGCGCGTGCGTATGTATGTGTGTGTGCGTGTGCGTGTGTGTGTGTGAATCTGGCTCATTAATTTTGCAAATATATATTTCTTACAAGTACCACCAGTTAAGCAATTAAAATGAAAGTGTCAACGACAGTAAAAACCAGATCGCTACAATTTTATTATCACTTCATGATGTGTTTTCATCACCAGCTGTATAGACAACCAGTCACGCCACCACAAAGGGTGCAATATCACTCTTTGGTGGAACTTAAAAAAGAATCAAATGGCTTGATCATGCCCTGGGGGTTGTTGCGGCCAAAAGTTACCGAGAGCAGCGACTTGCACATAGGTAGACTGGACAGTGGGCAGCTTGGTCTCACAATAGACATCGACGAAAAGATGGTAGCATCAGTCCGCCTGCGAGGTATAATATACCCCCACCGTTAATATTTTATTCTTTCGACCGAAACTCTAAAAAAAAACAAGAAACAACATTAAAAAAAGTTTTCTCAGAGTGTATCTACTTGACGTTATGTTAGTGAAACTGAAGTAAAAACCTTTTCAGACAAGCTGGTCCTAACAGAGCCATGTGGTAGGCTGATTTGGTAAGACTAACATATTTACTTAGCAAAGCAAACCAGCTGATACTGTGTCCTGGAATTACTGACACCGATCTTCAGGAGCA